ATCCCTTCCGTGTTCAAAGGATCCTCCCTCCTCAGCTTTCCAAGTAGCTGGGACTACAGGCATGCGCCAACATGCCTGGCTAATTTTTAAATTCTTTGTAGAGATGGGGTCTAGGTTTCCCTGGTTGGTCTTGAACTCCTGGGCTCAAGCAATCCTCCTACTTTGGCCTTCCAAAGTGTGGGATTACAAGCATGAGCCCCTGTGCCTGGTGAGTTTCTAATTTTTACATTCAGTTCATTTTTATGTGACTGGCATTTGCATAGGATTATTTTTATAACCAATATATTTTAGGTATGTAACCCAGAAGTAAATCACTAATTAATCTGCACTGGAGGAAATATAATTTAGGGAGAGTAGAAATTCTATTTGATAGACTGCACCAAAGGTAAGGTGTCACAGCCTTGAAGAGCCTCAGTGACTCTGGGAAAAACAAGCACCAAGACTGACCTTCCGGATCCGAGGTCTGGTAGCAGGATGGTTTTCAGTTCCATCTGTTGGAGGTCTCAGCTTCTGACATAAAGGCCTGCTTTATACAAAATGAGCCTGATTGAAAGATGTAAGCCACCAGGTTATAGGGAGAACTACAGGAGGCAGACAGGAGAAAATAAAAGAGTGATGTTGTTCTTCCACTAGCCTGTGGCTACTAACAAATTTCATCAGGATGTTGCTGAGGATCCTCAGAACAGTTTACAGAGGTAACTGTAAGCAGTAGAGGGCTATGAAAACGCTCCTGGGTGCTGACAGGAGCCCCTGGCGGGTGGTGAGTTGGGAATACAGGGGCTGTATAGGGGGTGAGGGAACTGTGCCTGACACCAATCAATGGGAGCCTGGAGAAACTAAGGCAGGGACTGGAATCATGCTGAGACTCAAACATTTTGAGCTGGAGTACTCACCAGGTACTCTAACTCAATCATATGCGTTGGGTATAAGGAAATTAGGAATAATTGGAACTGTGGCTGGCCCCAAATTTCATGCCCTATTTATAGCCATTCATCAGATTTAGAATGAGATAAAGGAAGGATTCTTTTTATTATTTTTTAAAACACCCACTTCATGTTTTACACCCACATCATAAATCACCCAGAGGGAGAATTAGGCCTGTGGACCTCCCATTTTGTAGTACCTCATATGTAATTTTTTTTTTTTAACAGACACTCGTTTTTTGGTACAAGTGAATGAGGAAAAGGCTTTGCTGCTGTTGTTGTTTTTATTCTCTGTAAGAGTACCTCTGGGTGAAAATTATTAAGAAAGCTAATTATTATATCTTTATATGACTCTAAATTTGGTCTATTTAAAAATTCAAAACATAGACATTTGGAAATGACTTTCTCATCTCAGTACTGAAGTTGAGAGGGAGAAGGAAAAAAAGTGAGAAATTCCAGTGCCTGGATATTCCCAGGCTAATTTCTAGACAAGTGAGTTTTGATAAGTTCAAGTTTCAGATAAGAATTTCTTTTTTCTTCTCTTGTTGGTTTTTCCAAATCATGAGTAAAAATGTCTCTGAAAGAGCCTGAAAAAATATATATTAATGTGGAGAATTATTGACATAAAATTTTAATAAATTAGTATGAGAATGAGACACTACAATAAATATTATTTAGAGTTATTTTAATAGTCCTCTCCCCTATCATCATCACCCATTTAAAAAGGTGGGTATATATATATGTGTGTGTGTGTCTGTGTGTGTGTGTGCATTCATAAAAATTTAGTGTGCAGTTCTTAGTTTTTCTTTATGCAAAACACACAAAATAAAAGTGAATAATTGAAGCCATTACACACACATTTTTCCTCCTAAGTTCTGTAAATAGATACTCCAATAAAGACACTACCAATATCTTACTTTCTGTCTTAACTATAACTGAGAGTATTTATATATTAAACTTTTTAAATAAGAAATGATTGGATTTCAATTCGCCTTAAAGATTCATAATGTAATATTCTTCACCCTAAATAACTCAGATTATTTCTAATTTTTTCTTTAATTTACCTTCATAAATACAGCCTTCGATTAATATAATTTAGTGGAGTTGATCAATCTGAGATATTTTTACCTTCCCCCATTACAGCATGCCATGGAATGAAAATTTACTTTGCTGCTCGAATGTATCAAACACAGTTTCTGTGGTCAAGTTCCTCTCCTTTCGTAAATGTGCTTAGAGGATCTCGTAAGACGTAACTCCTCTGACAAGAGAACCATTTTGGCACCAACACTACAAAAGCTTCTGTGTTCCTAAGGGAGAGATCCTCTCCTGAATTAAATTTAACCTCTTTAGTACGCGCATTTAGCCACCTGATAAATCCACTTGAGCTATCTTTTGGGGAGAGAGAGGTACCTGGGAACAATAACACTTCCTTTTTGAACAGTTTAATAAAGCTTTGTGAGAGTCCAAGATGAAAGATAATGTGTAATGCTAATAGTGCCCTCCACAGCTCTGCATTCATGGATCCAATTACGTTTTTTGTCACGGTAAAAGCCACAGTGGATATATTAAATGAGAGTGTGGCTTAAGAATGAAGGCCCAGGAGTCTGGAGATCTGGTTTCTAAGGCTGACTTAACTTCTGCTTTCTTATCTCTCTATGAGTGTGCAGCTTAACATCGTTACCTCAGTGTCTCCTTCCATAAAGTGCCCAGCAAATATCTGAGAAATTCTTTTAAAATGACAGTGCAAAGTGCCATTTAGAATCACCTTGGAATGTCTAGAAAAAAATGAGCTGAGTGTTCAAAGAGGGAAATACAATCTTCTGCTTAATTTCAGAGTGATCATAAAGTTTGTCTTTTACTTTTTAAAAGTCATGAGATTTCCAGAAGAGGAATGACATTTTCAAAGCCTTAAGGACACTTGTGAAAACACTCCTTCAACTATTCTTTATTTCTCACCAAAATTTTGACTCTGGCTTTTCTCCAACTTCCTCTCTTCCCCAATTCTCAATTCCAACTTGAAAAGAGTAATTGCAATTTTAACTTTTTCCATCCTGGAGTATTTTCTTGCAGCTGATTTGTTTCAGATAATTGTAAAGTTATGCATGTCAGATTTTGTTTTAGATACACATGATTGCTGGCTTTAGTCAGTCAATCCCCAAACCCTTAAACTGATTAATTTCACTGTGAAATAATTGATTATGAATTTGTAGCAATATCTGATTTTATTTTAAAATTCAAGTTGATAGAACATTGTCATTTATTGATTAATCTATTGCCCTTTGCCTTGAGATAATCTTGAAGAAGCAGAATACTGCCGTTAGTAAAATGACATCTATGTATTACAAATGACCATGTTCTTAAAATACACACACACGCGCGCACACACACACACACACACACACACACACACACACAGAGACATACTTTCTAGTAATAAGCAGTGTTTTGAGTAAAATCTTTTGAAAGATGTTTAGCAAATCGAAACAATTTCTGTCTTCCTATGTGGTGCCTGCAATTATATGGTTTAGATAGTTATTGAAGGACTTGGGAAACATCATAGGCCCATTGGCATTATTCTCAATGTATCAAAGATTCATTCAGTATAAATAAATAATTTCATTATTTATAATAATAAAAGTTGTCATGGAAAATTTTATAACCTGATAAATAGGATGTCATAGAAATACTCAACATGGAAAAATAAAATATATACATAGTTTAAATTAGACCATCTGTTACAGAGTTGTACAGTCTAACTCTCTGGCCGGGTAAGCTTCTAGCATGAAACTTCACACAATCATACCTACAATGTATTCTTGCCTAATTCCTTGTTCCAAAGGAAAGTTTGATAGGGAAGTTGAATAATTTCACTTCCTTTTAGAGATGGTAGAACTTATTTAAGTAGCTTTCCTGTATTACAAAGATTAGGCAGCTTTGATTGGAACTCTAGATTGAAAATGAATAGAAATAACTTCTTACAGACCAAATCTAAATTTAACTTTGCTTCACACCAATAAACTATAGCCTCTACTACTTTATAGACAGATTATAGCTCATCAGTATGACTAAAAATCACTGTGGAATTACTCTGTAATAGTTCTGTTGCTATGCCTATAAATATAATTTCAGTGAGTGACTTTTCCATTTTCTAGCTGCCTGGCTATACTTTTTTTGCATGGCAAACTAAAGGACTTTAAGAATATGGTAAATGACAAATTTAAATAGCCTCAGATAAAACATGAAAGTCGACATTAAATTATCTGGTTGAAAATTATTTTCAGAACAATTTTAAAAATAACATTTTTCTATTGATTTTAACTTAATGTTTATACTATTCTAAAAAAGTTAACAAAATGCAATTTTGCTTACACTCGTAAAGCCTAACATAAAGAAAATAACAGCATTATTTAGGGGAAAAAGTCCCGTTACCCAAGTGAATAGATAATTAAATAATTATCATAGGCAAAAGACAGATAGATAGCATCAGATATTGTAACTTGGTAGAGCTTCACTACTAGGTCTAACAGTTGAAAATAATCCAGGAAATAGTTTTAAGTGTTTTATATTTAAAACACCTACACACACACACACACACACACACACACGTAGGCAGTGTGAAATTTACATTGTTCCTTTCCCATGTTATTGTTGTATATGGGCAAGCTTATTTTTCACATATTTCCTTCTCAATAGCCTCGTAGTTCTAAAGAGGCACACAGCATTATCACCAAAGATGCTTGACAAAGATGGGTATGCTGAGGGTGATCCAGATTTACTGATGATGGGAGGCCTGGAAATCTGAAAATTCAACAAACTTTCCTAGTAATTTTTATATAAAACAAAATACAAGAAAAACTACTGCATGAGAAAATAGGAAGAAGCCAGTGGATACTTTTTTTAAAAAAGAAAGTTTTAAAATGGTTACTGTGTAATAGACAAATGATTTCTGAGCTAGAGAAAAGTTCAACATGAAATATAATCTAATATTAAAAAGCCCAGAGAAGTTGCTTTCTTAAGTTCCAAGATTAGCATTTAGCTTTCTCCTGGTTAAAAGTTTAAAACGAAGAAGATATATACTCTGCGTAGGGCTGAGGAAGGTAAAGGACTCAAGGATATAATGATCTCTGTAAATGCCTCTGTGCCATTTCCAAATAACTGTCCTCATGCCCTCTCTTCCATCCTTCTTTCCTTGTTACCTTCTCTCTTCTTCTCTCTGTCTCCTTTGCTGCAACAGTATTTAAGTGGATGTATAATACACATTAACTCTATCACATCTTTTAACATACATGTTGGTTTAGTGATTGTGGAGCGATTGTAGGAATTGTCCATTTTACTTAATTTTTCAGAGGTTTTTGGTTAAAACAAAATTCCCTCAGAGATTCAAATGTCATCTGTTAATTGAAATATATACGTCTGTGTTTTGAGATTAAGCCCAAAGGAAGGGTGGCTTCTCTCTCTGGATCGGACTATATGTTGAGTTATTTAATTACAGTAAAACAAAAATATTAAGATGGCAAGAAAAAATTAATCGTGATGCCTCATTCTTGATTCCTCATGAAATGGATTGCCTATACCATACTTACGTAACACGTGCATAGCCTTTCCAAAGCTCCAAACCTCAAGATGAAATGGTCCGTTCCTCCCTTTCCTGTGCGAGTGTTGGGAAGTTTCCTTTTCCCCATCAAGGGGCCTTTCCTACTGTGCTGACCACAAGGTAGTTTTTCGAGGGGATCTTAAGTTATATTAGTATTTTATGAGATCTCAGATAGGGTTAAATGATTCCTCTTATTTTGGTGTGGAAAGAGAATGGAGTGTGATGGTGAATGCAGGAGAAAGTTGTGAAAGACTGAAATGAGCTGTAAATATTACTAAATCACGTGACTAGCAGAGGCTTCCAAGATTTCTCTGCCTTTCATCATCTTTGAGCTATTTTACAACTTTGTAAAATTTTAAAAATATGGCATAAATGCAATTGACTTTCTTTCAGAAAAATGCAAAGTAATTGTGTCCAGTGAGAATGCTGTGGACTATTGTTCTGTGAATCGACCAGTTCTACTTATATATGACTTTAAATTTGCCTTTGAATCGGTTGTAACATCTTATTGTTTCTCTTATTAATCAAGTAAAATCTTTGATTTATGTTCATGATATATCTGTATAAGCTACCACGAAATGTTTTTAAATGCCTTATCATGTAATATAACCAACTTTCTAGACAAATAGCGCTCCCTTTCTTATTTTCAAGTAAGTAGCGAAAACTTATTTGAAATTCTGAACCCATCAATTTAATTTTTGTATGAAAGGATGAAAATTTCCTAGAAGCCCTCTTGGTATCATCTAGGTAAATCTCATATCAAATCTGTGCTAATATGTTATTTGTCCTGTAACTGGTTCTTAGTCCAAATTTCATACTATTTATTCCAGTCCTATATCCTTCACCTGGATCAATATAAAGTGCATTGGCCACACAGTCTTATTGTCTGTATAACAGCTTCAACTCAATTTTCAAACAGTATTTTAAAAATTAAATGGCCAAGTGCGGTGGCTCACAGCTAATCCCAGCACTTTGGGAGGCTGAGGTGGGCGGATCATGTGGTCAGGAGATCCAGACCATCCTGGCTAACACGGTGAAACCCCGTCTCTACTAAAAATACAAAAATCACCCGGGCGTGGTGGCGGCGCCTGTAGTCCCAGCTACTCGGGAGGCTGAGGCAGGAGAATGGCGGGAACCCGGGGGGCGGAGCTTGCAGTGAGCTGAGATCGCGCCACTGCACTCCAGCCTGGGCGACAGAGCGAGACTCTGTGTTGAAAAAAGAAAAGAAAGAAAAAAAATAGCTAGGTGTGGTGGTGCGGGCCTGTAATCTCAGCTGCTTGGGAGGCTGAGGCAGGAGAATCTCTTGAACCCAGGAGACAGAGGTTGCCGCGAGCCCAGATGGCACCACTGCACTCCAGCCTGGGCAACAGAGCAAGACTCTGTCTCAAAATAATTTAAAATAAATAAATGAATAAAAATAGAATATTTTGGTTGAGGGTACATGGGTGAGCTGTTTTATTTTATATATGTAGGATTTCTAAAATAATTTTACTTTTACCAGTCCAACTTCTATAATTTATAAATATGTAATAAATAGTAGATAATATTAATGAATGTGTTGTTTGGTATTCTGTTAGTTGACTTAAAAATGAGAATGATAAAAAAGGCATGGTGTCAAAGGCACTTCACAATTATTAGTCATGGGGGTAAAAAAAATAAATAAAAGAAACCAAGACAAGTTGCCAGCATGGCTACACAGAGAAATTCCAGTTTCCCCAAAACTGGAAAATAATAGCATTTTCAGTGAGGACAGACTGCTTAACCTATAACAAAGATACCTGCTATATATTAGAAATTCTGTTTGTTTATCCTTAAGCAATTATTTTAATCTTGATAGTTTATTCTGATTAGAGATATAACAAGACTGTAACTCTAGTCTCTTCTTGGAAAAAAAAAAAAAATTCCAATGAGCGAGATGATTAATCCAGTTAAGAAACATGTCCAGTCTGGGGACAAAAAAGGTAGATCAAATTTTGGTTAGGAAGATTAACCAAGTAAAAATCCAGTAGCTAGAATTTATTGTAAAAGCCAATAAGAAATCATCCAAGAAATAAAAAACTAAAAATAACCCACAATATGGAATAAAAAAAGACATAGAGTGATTCTCTTTGCATTCAATAGAGACTGAGAAAACACAACTGTCAGAAGATTAAATATTGCTTTGGAATGTTTAGAAATATGATGAAAGTAAATTAGACAATTGCTAGAAAAATATTCTTCAGTTGGTTCCCCTGCGCATCAAAAAATTCAACTTGATACTCCGTTTTCTTTTTCTTGACAAATTTAGGGCTTTTATTAGTGCTATGACAGAAAGAAGGAATGCTACCAAAAAGATCATTTGAATCTACTTTAATTATTTCAGAGTAGGGAACCCATAATTGGAAAGTAATTTATAACCTTGAGTTTGTAAAATCTTTAAACTCTCACAACGATGTGAAGGCAGAGAAAGTATCAAACTCGGTCCCCTATAATAAGCTCATTACTTCATAAATATATATCCCCCTCATCTATGTGTCAGAAATGTTTAAAATTTTCACCAGTGGTACATTATTTTTGGGCCTTACATTTTTGTGGATTTGGTGACTACTTGAAAGAAATAAAATAGGATTGGATAATGTGAATTTCTTTTACACTCATTGTCGCTATTAGAAAATAAGGCCCAAATAAAATATGACAGAGCCGAATTAGTTTTAATACAGGAAAAATTTGTAAGTTGAAGAGGAGAAAATGCAGCCAGGAACTAACAGTACACACCTAAGCAGTTAAGAAAGCGTGGATGATGATAAGAGGAAGGAAATTTCTGTCCTCCAGCTACTTTGAATTTAGTGTTCTGCCTAGCACTAATATTATTGAATCTTATGGTATAGTGCTTGACTATCTAATGAGATGATAACTCTCCTACTTGGAGAAAATGTAGATGCCTTGCCTACCTCTGCTTGTATATATGCTGAAACATACTGATGTCTGCTGCCTTCTTAATTTTACATTAATTTTTAAAGTAAGGATTGATTTGATTTAAAAAAATGCACTTGGAAAAATTATTCTGCTATTCCCCCATTTCTTGTTCATGTCTATTTACAACTAACAAGATTTGCATGCAAATAGATATATGGACAAGATCTCACTTCTTTTCATGTCTGGCTTCTCCCTGTTTACCCACAATTATTTTCATAATATTTTATTGTGATTCCACAAACCAGGGACAAATCTCTGAAGGGAAGAGTGTTCCAAGGCATGGTCATCATTAGAAGACAATAAGCTTGTTTTCATTCCAGCATCCTTAGCTTTGTTCAAGGCTAAGTGGAAGAAATTAACATACGGCATGCCTTTCAATGAAAATTGTTTCTAATTATTTTGCTTCACAAATTATTCCACCAGGCATTGATTAGACTTTTAAAATTTATTTCATATCTGTCACTCTCAGCTAACATTTGTAATTTTTTATTGTTGTTAAAAAGAATCTGTTAATTGAAATACAATTATCCTCTTTAGTAAAAGTAAATAAAATTACTTGGGTAGCCAACATATTCAAGTAATCATCAATCTTGGTCAGAAATTAAAAATAAGATGAGCATCTAAACTTGGCACTCAAAGACTGACCATCTGCACCTTTGAGGCAAAATGAAATTCAGTTTGGGAAAATCTTATGAAAATCAATGTTTTAATTATGCTGTCAAGGGCTGTGGTAGGCAGAAATTTCTTTGCTCCACCCCCCAAAGATGTCCAGTTCTTAATCCTGAAAACCTGTGGATATATGATCTAATGTAACAAAAGGACTTCATAGATGTGACTAACGTTAAGGACCTGGAGGTGGAGAGTGACGTTGGTTATCCTGGTGTGTCCAGTGTAATCACAGGCATCTTTATAATCAGTGAAGGACTCCCCGCTGTGCTGAGAGAGGGGCATGCTGGAAGAAGAGTGGTCAGAGAAGCAACATTGCTGGCTCTAAAGACAGAGGACAGGCCATGAACCAAGGCATGCAGGCGGCCTCCGAAAGCTGGGACAGGCAAGAGAATGGACTCTGCCCTGGAGCCTTCAGAACGCGTGCAGCCCTGCCCATTCCTTGCTGTTAGCCAGGTGAGACATCTGTCAGCCTGATGAGAACTATGAAACAATGAATGTGTGGGTTTCTTCACCACAAAATTTGTGTTAATTTGTTATAGCAGTGATAGAAAACTAAGACAAGGTTATATCTTGGCGTGTCAGATTTTAAGTTGTCTGCTATAGTTTAGAAAAGCTCAGAGAAGGAGCTGCAATTTGTCTCTTTTTAAAAAAGAAAAAAAAAGATCACCTTCTAGGAAATTAAATATTAACGGGCTGGGTGTGGTGGCTGACGCCTGTAATCCTAGCACTTTGGGAGGCTGAGGCGCTACTGCACTCCAGCCTGGGCAACAGACTGAGACCCTGTCTCCAAAATAAATAAATAAGTAAGTAAATAAATAAATAAATAAAAATAAAGAATTAAACATTAACAGATTATTAAGTGAGGAGCTGTGTGAGACCTACCTTGGGTTTGCACCTATAGGTATGGAAAAATTGGTACTTGAAGGCAAAACTACTGCCTTAAATTCCCACTACACAAAAGTAAATCATGGGATTGAGGAAAATAATTTACTTGTTTGCTTCATAAAAAGAGTTATGTATCTCTTCGTAAGTTCTGTATGTTTTACAAGGTTGCATTGTTTGAACTGTAAGTGTAAATGGTTATTAACATTCCAGAAACCAAGAGGGGCATTTGAATTGGAAAAATGGTATTCCTGTATCTTACGAATTAATTGAAGTTTGTCTACTCTTGAAAACATGTCAAAAGTATTATGTAGCTTTACCACAGTTTTATCTAACTTCTAGAGGAATTTAAATTCATATAAATATAAAGAGTAACATAGCAATGGAGTTGAGAGTTTTCAGATTTGCTCAGAAGACTGTTCCTTTGAAAACCTATGAAGTTTTACCCAATGTATATCTGGATCTAAAAATTAAAGAAAATATCAGTCGTGTTCAGATTCCTTTATGTCCTGCAAAAGGGAGAAAGGATAAGCAACATCAATGGAGCACATAATATGTGTGGGGTTTAGCACTTGTCATATTTTTAATCTCAATACTTCAGCCAGATAAGTCTTCTTTCTTTATTTTTATAGATGAGGATATTGAGGTTTGCATTTCTTTTTAGAAATGGCTGTCATACAGTTGGCAAATAACTGACAGGAGAGTTCACTCCAGGTCTTACTGGCTCTCAAACCTTTGCTTTTTAAAAATTTCCAACCTAGCGCCTCTCCCTTTTAACTGCAAAATAAGCACAAAGTTATCCCAATTCTACACAGTGCAAAACGAATTCCTGTGAGCAAACAATTAGCACAGGCAGATGGAGTGAGGGCAGGTGGTTTATAACAATGGAAAACTGTCTGCCTGCTGGGAATTCAAGATTCAAACTCTTTGATCCTTCTCCCAGGGAGAGGTGAGGGCCTAGGTCTCCTCCTCATTAACGTGAGGGATCCTTGGCTAGGTTCTCCTTTGACTGACAGAATATGGCAGAAGTAAGGCTGAACCATATACTGGGCTCAGACTTCCAACTCTGACATGTTCCACTTCCTGTCTCCAGGAACATTCACCGTGGCTGCTCTGCGCTGCCATACAATGTCAGATTGCACTGAGGCCGCCATGCTGTAAGAAACCCCAAGCTGCCTGCCTGAAAAGACTGGAGAGACACAGCACCCATCAGCTTTTCCAGCCTTTTGGGTCCTCCCAGCTAAATTACAGGCATTGTGAAGCAGAGATGAGAAGAGATGAGACCTCCTGCGTGCCCTTTCCAAATCCCGGCTCAGCAGAATCATCCTACACAATAGTAAGTTTTTACTTGAAGCCACTAATTTGGGGAGTAGTTCTTATGCAGCAAAAGATAATCAGAACACTGCGCCATGGCAGGAGCTGATAAACCTGCTCACTGTTACGCGTGTATCCAATGACTACTCACACACACATGACTTGCTTCACTCTACTTTCTGGCTTTCCATTCAGCAAATGTTAAGAAATGAGAATGTTATTCATGAGAAATTAACTCAAGATGAATATTGTTATCGTTAAACTCTTCGTAAATGGTAAAATACTACATTATTGCTAGTCATTTTTATTTAAAGAAGTTTGGTTCTTTAAATGAAAGAAGTTTGGGTCTTTTGTGGATACTCTGCATATAGATATTCTAGACATGAAAGAACGTTGAAGACAAAGAATGTTGAAGGCATATAGACATGAAGGAATTTTGAAGTTGGGTTCTTTTGTGGATACTCTGCATATAGACATTCTAGACTGGAGTGATATGTCTTGTTCAAGCTTCTATGTTTTTAAAATGATAACTTGACACACCTACCCAATGCCAATTTTTAGGACATAAATCTGTGTGAACTAAGGAAAATTCAGGAATGATTAAACCTACATATTTTCCCAAGAGAGACTGGATAACATAAGTCTTTATATTTTTCACAACGTTAAGTTTACAGCATCCAAATGAGCAACTGCAGACATATATATGGGATTTCTCTGCAGAGTTCAAGTCTGGTCTGGCCTGAGGGCAGCACTCTTACTGAGTGTGTTCCTAGGCATTCCTTGGCAGTCGGCTCCAGGCCACAATGAAGAGCCCTGATGATTCTCTGAGCAGGCCCAGCTTCCATTCACATTCATGGGGATATGAGGATGACTTGGGATCTTCAGGACTAAGATAGACTCCTTCAGTTGGTGTGGGGTAAGCTCAGCTCATCTCTAGAGACTTCCCACAGTGGAGCTCATGCACAACTCTGTGCAGATGGCCCAGGACAGCCAGAGACAGGCACCTAAGGAGAGCACTGTCAGCAGGCGGACTCTCCACTGAGGGAGGTAGACGAGGGAGAAAGCCAGGTATCCACATGGAACGGGCCTTAGTCAGGGAGACTGAGATTTTGCTCTACACATCACAAAACGTGGATGCCATTAATGGAATTTTTCACAGGACATGACTGCCATAGCCATGATAGGGTCCCTGGCTAATCTTTAGGTTATGATAGCATCATAAGATAATTTTGAATATGAGGAGACAAGAATAACTGTAGAACTACACTGTCCAATACGGTAAACCCTAGCAACCTAAGGCTATTTAAATTAATTGAAATTAAAACTTTAGTTCCTCAGTGCCACTAGCCATATTCCAAGTACTCAATAACCACACACACTTGGCTACGATGTTGGACAGCACAGACATAGACCATTTCTGTAACTGCAGAAAGTCTTCCTATTTGACAGTCCATCTCTGGAAGCAATCCACGGTCAACTGAGGTGCTAAATCTCAGAGCAGTACTGTGCTCAACACTTAGTTAAAAGACTTGCTAATCTGTATAGTTGATCTAGAGAACAGCTAGTTCTTAGAAACTATGTTGCTGGACCTTGAAACTGTATGCCAGGAACTTGGTGTTCTGGTGGTGATTTCTCATTTATCTACCATGTTCAGGCTTTTCCTAGCACTCATATATACATTCAGAAAGTATTTCAGAAGACGCTATGATTTACCAGGTGCTATTGCAGGCACTGAGACACTGGTGAACAAAGCAAACAAGTCTCCGCCCTCAGGGATCTCACATTCCACGTGGTGATGCAGACAGTAAAAATTCACACACAGAAGATGCTTTCACACAGGAGTAAGTTTTATGAAGAACAATTCAAAAGGGGTATGGGGTGGGAGAGGTTGATGTTCAGGTGTTTACTTGAGAATGAGCTATTCATACAAAGAATCAATAATTCATTTGTTCCACAAATATTTTATTGATTACCAGTTATTTGTAGGCTACTTTATTAGGTTGCCAGTGTAGGGTTTCATTAGCACAATTAAAACACAATGACATTTGTTAGAAATTCAAAGACCCATGTCTACTCTTGCATAATGAATCAGAGTCTCAAGGTTATGGTCCAGAGATTGTTGTATTTAAAAATCACTGAAGTAATTTTAAGATATAGCTGTAACAGAGAGGACACCGGCATTCTTCCTCAAACTCAACACACTAGACAAAGAGAAATCATTAAAATGAAGTAAATATTATGATCAAGATTGTTTTGGCTTCAAAATTAATGACAGATTGGAGAGGAAAGAAAGTAAATTGTAAAAGACAATTAGGAAACTCAAATGTATTTAGGTAATAGTTACAGAGGAACAAAAATGAGTAGAATCTGTGATAAGAGAAAGAATAAAAATAAACAAAAGGACTTAAAAAAGTAGGAATAAGACAGAAGTCAACAGTAACCCAGAAATTTTCAACCTCATGTCTAAGAGAACGATGATGCTATTTAGCAATATATCCAAACCAAAAATATTAGGAGAAGTAGGTTGGGTTCACTTGTGATGTTATAAATTTATAATTACTTTTTCTTTAACTGTGGATGCATGCTCTTCCTTTTTCTGAAGTTCTGAGACATACAAAAACAATAAAGAAAAATAAGATTTTATGCCAGAAAATAAGATAGGAACAATTCCTCATGCCCAATATAATTTTAGCCTCCCACAGAATCCAAAATATATATGCTGCAAATTGTGGGAGTTTCAAAATTAAATCCAACTGCTTATTACAGTTAAAGATAAAAAGAAAACAAGGCTTTGTCTTTTTAAGGATCTTTTTTGGAACTTGCAACATAAAAATACTCTTTCAAAAAATATAGCTCAACATCAAAGTCCAATAAAACAGTAAGCTGGTCTAAATATATTAGTATATTAGCCTGACCTAAGTCTGGGAATTGAGCCAGACTTTTCAAATTATACTATCATTATTTACAGAAAAAGGAAATGTTAACTAACATTATTAAATAAGAGCATATATACACATGCATAACAGGAAACAAAATAAATGTTAATGTTAACAAATGTTGAAGATGTATGTGTGCATATATTACATATATATTATATATGTATATATATACACAAAGCAGATAAAATATCCTCTTGGGCGTGATTGGAAATAGTAGCTATGCCAGGGGAAAATTTATGCAATCCCCTTGGCTGTGGGCTACACATTTATTGTGCTATACAAATATGCAAAAAAAAAAATGCCATTTCCACAGTTGCCTAAAACAAAATTGCAATTATACATTAGTGTTTAAAGATTTTTTTTCTTTCAACTCCTTTTCTTAATGAATGGCAGATAATGAAATTTAGGTGTTTGCAAAAACAAATGTAGTTTAAATTGTACCTTTGTTGTCTGTGAAATACAAATACATTTTATATATTTATGGAAACATTTGTATGTGTTCAGAAAGTCGGTATTTTGTATTCAAGATTGACCCTGTTTTAAGTCATATTTCATTTGCTACATTTAAATTGACTAAAGGCAGATACTTTGGCGTTCACTTTTTGATTCATTATTAAGGCAAATTATAACTTCTGCTTAAGATAGTTTTCCTGATCGGAGTAGACATTTAGGCTACCTATCTACGAAAACATCCCACTTTTCTATCTGAAATATTTGATCTCTCTTTACCCATTAGGGGTTTTGTGCATTTCTAAGGTGATCATCTTGGTGTGGGGTCCTGATCTTCCCAGTGACTTAGCAGCACAGTAATTTGGCTGAAATGTTGATGAATTCAGACAAGAAGAAGGTGAGGATGACAAGAGAGCGTGACGGGGAAATTCTGCCCTGAGGAAGGAATAGTTTGAGGCTGGAGAGATGTGCTACCCCCGCCACTCTTTCTCAAATGATATTTATTCTTGAAAGACAGTGTAAAGTGTCTGAAATTGCAGAAGCAGAGTGGTTGCTGTAGAAATACATACCATGACGTGCTTCAACTCGTTTCTTTAAAGGTTAAAGAAAGAAAAATGTGCATCTTGAAGAAAATTCCAAACCTTCATTGTGAGCAGTAATCCAATATTTCAATTTAGAAATTCAGAGGATTTTAAACAAGAAGCAATTATTCCAGGCTAAAAGCAAATATAAATGCCAGCAGTCAAAAAAACAGTGAAAAGATATGATTAAAACTGAGATTTAAAAAATAGATATTTATCTGAAGTTCTTGACTTTCAAAGTCCACAGGCATTTTCCCTTAGGAAAAGAATAAAAACATTAAATGTTAAAGAAAAACGTAAGAAATATTATAAAAAAGATAATTATTCAGTCAATATTAGTATTTTGTTACCAACACCAAAGACAAACAGAATATTTTCCAATGATTGGAAGCTAGTTTGAGTGAAGAAAAAACCGCATTATTATTACTATTATTATCCATTATTTTTATTTTTACTTTTGGCAGTGTTATTTGCCAATCAGCTAACACATGGTAGTAGACTTGATTTTTTATTTATTATAAAGGTTGTATCTTCTCATTGTAAGGGAATATTTTAACTACATTGTGCAATTGTACATTATAAATGCAGCAAGACCAGATCAAGTGAAACTTCAGTGGAAGAAGTTTCTTTTCTTGTGTCTAGGGCTCTACCTCCCACCTGCTACCTTAAGTTTTTAGACGCCCTGTTCCCCAGGTCTGTGCTTGTATAATATACAAGCTGTCCTTGACATAGCATGTTCCTCGTTTTTCCTTCATCATTTTTAAATAGTTATGATATACTCTTAAAAACAAATTCAGATATTACTGATAGATTCTAATATTATCTTACTCTCTGAAATTAAGTAGTGATGTGTATTGTGTTAAACGTTTGTCTATGCTTATGCAACATATGAGTAGGTCTGTCTCTGGGCCTATAGGTATTTGTTTCATATC